AATTTGGATTTTTAAAATAATTTCAGGCTTTTATAAGGTTGGAAAAAACAGTACAAATCACTTCTGTATATGTTTCTGTAGTGTCTTAAATTTTCATGTCTTTTTAAAAAATAATCTCAACTTTTATCTTATTTTATTAATTAATTAATTTACTTATTTTTGAGACAGAGTCTCTCTCTGTCGCCCAGGCTGGAGCGCAGTGTCATGATCTTGCCTCACTGCAACCTCCGCCTCCCAGGTTCCAGTGATTCTCCCACCTGAAACCTCCCAAGTAGTTGGGATTACAGGCACGCGACACCACACCCAGCTAATTATTGCGTTTTTAGTAGAGATGGGGTTTCACCATGTTGGCCAGGCTGGTCTCAAACTCCTGACCTCAGGTGATCTGCCCGCCTTGGCCTCCCAAATTGCTGGGATTATAGGCGTGAGCCATGCACCTGGCCCAAGAAGTCTTAAGATTTGCAGTTGGGAGGCTGGAGGCCCAGTAGATCCAATGCTGTCAGTTCCAGTCTGAGAACAAGTCTGAAGGCAGGAGAAGACCTATGTTCCAGCTTCGAGATAGTCAGTCAGAGAGAGGAGACTCTCCCTTACTCTCTCTTTTGTTCTAGTCAGGCCTTCAACATATCAGTTTAAGGTTACATATATTAGGGAGAACAAGCTGCTTCACTCAGTCTGCCAATTCAAATGCTAATCTCCTCCAGAAATTCCCTCATGGATACAACCAGAATAAGGTTAATCAAATATCTAAGCACCCCTCGGACCAGTCAAGTTGACACATAAAATTAATCATCACATTTGGATGATCAGTTTTTCTATTAATGTTCTTTTTCTGTTGCAGGGAAGAATCCAGGATACCATATGGCATTAGAGGTAGATCTTCTTTTATGTGATTACTCCCCCACTAACCCATATCACAGGGAGTTCCATACTTTTCCTCTCTACACTAGAGCCTCACTAAACTGGTGATATGGTTACCAGTGGCTACCAAATTTCACTTCTCACATGTTCCCACCATAAGAGAAGAACTGCTCATATTCTCTGTGGTTCAAACTCAAAAATCCTAGAGAAGAGTTTTGATGGACTCACCTTGTAACAAATGACTTCCACTAGATCCATCAGACATGGCCAGTGGGGGCCCACGCTTGTGAAGCAGAGCTGTTCCTGCAGAAAGGGGAATCACTGTAAACTGGGCGGTGACCCCAGCTGAAGTCCATACTACTAGTGACCAGCTAGCCCATTTACCTCGTTTCACAGATGAGACAACTGAAGTCTAAACAGGTAAGTTACTTCCAAGGACCCAGAACTGTTCTTTAACAAAATGAAGGCTAAATCCAGGCCTAATTCCTAGTCCTAGCACTTTCCTTTATGTCCCTAGCACTACATGATTTGGGTATTAATCCCAAGAATCAAAGAATCTGAAATTAGAAATAACCTCAAGGCTTATCTAGCTCCTACTGATGCATGAATTTCCCAGTGTATCCAAGCTGACCCCAGAGAAATGGGAGCCTTTCCTGTTTATTTTTCTCCAATATTGGAATTTCAAAGTAACTCACACTCAGCAGGTTAAGATGCACAGAATTAGCGGGGAGGAAGAGGATGTCCATCAGTAGGTTTGTTTGTTTGTTTGTTTGTTTGTTTGAGACAGGGTCTCACTCTGTTGCCCAGACTGCAGTGCAGTGGAGTGATCCCCGCTCACCGCAACCTCTGCCTCCCAGGCTGAAGCTATTCTCCTGCCTCAGCCTCCCGAGTAGCTGGGATTACAGGCATGTGCCACTACCACCCAGCTAATTTTTGTATTTTTAGTAGAGACGAGGTTTCACATGTTGATCAGGCTGATCTCGAACTGCTGACCTCAAATGATCCACCCACCTCAGCCTCCCAAAGTTCTGGGATTACAGGTATGAGCCACAGCGTCCGGCCGAGTAGGTTTATTAAACAACCTAAACTATAATCATGTAATGAAACACTATACAATCCACTAAAGAGAATGAAGAGATATGTATGTATTGACAGAGGAAGATGTTTCATATATGGCATTAAGGGAAAAAAACAAACTGATGAAAAAGGTTTGAACAGTGTAAACATCTTTATGTGGGAGATAGCAGGAAGAGCAACTCTCACTACACTGTCAACAGTCGTCATCAGTGGCAGGTGGGATTACAGAATATTTTTCCTTTTCTTCATTATACTTTCCTGTAATGTTTGAATTTTTAAAATTATGAGCATGGACCTTAAAACCATTGTGCCGAGAGAAATAATCCAGACACAAAATGCCACATGCTGTATGATTCCATTTATATAAAATATCCAAAATCGGCAAATACCTAGAGACGGAAAGCAGATTTGGAGCTATCAGAGCTGGGGGTGAGCTGGAATGGGGAATGACTGCTTAATGAGTACAGGGCAATGAAAATGTTTGGGGACTAGATAAAGTGGATGGCTCCACAACACTGCAAACCACTAAATGACACTGCACTGTACATTTTAAAATGGCTAATTTTATGTTATGTGAATTTCACCTCAATTTTTAAAACTTCTTTCCTGCAGTAAGAAAATCCCAGGCCCACATATACTCTTCTGTGGGGTTTGGGCAAATTGCTTATCTTTGCTATATCAGTTAGTTCATTTGCAGCTGGTCTCTAAAATACCTTTAGGCTCTGATACTATGATTCTGGGCATATTCAACTATAATTCCAGACCCATTCATTCCTTTGTCATTCAGGCTAAGATCACAGAAGCTTTTTTTTTTTTGTGTGTGTGGCAGATATAGCACATTGATGACCTAATATTAAGAGGGAAGAAGAGGTAAGCCATCTTTCTCAAAGATCGTAAATGTATGGCCCCATCCAAGCCCCATAATGAATGACAAGTGACTAAAGAAAGAGAATAGAAGAAAGAAAATCAAAGGCATAAAGGCAATAGTAATCAAAAGTAACACATATTGAGTGACTTCCATGTCTGGAGTGTCTTCCAGATACTATGCTAGATGCCTCATAAATGCTTGTATTTTTAAAGGTAATCCTTAGAAGAGAAAATTAAAGCTCAAAAGGGGTAAGCAACTTGCCAAAGGACCCACAGTCAATAACTGAAAAGTGTAGTGTTGAAATTCAGGCCAGGCACGGTGGCTCACACCTGTAATCCCAACACTTTGGGAGGCCAAGGCAGATGGATCACTTGAGGTCAGGAGTTAGAGACCAGCCGGACTAGCACGGTGAAACCCTGTCTCTACTAAAAAAAATACAAAAAATTAGCCAAGCATGGTGGTGCGTGCCTGGTAATCCCAGCTACTCTGGAGGCTGAGGCAGGAGAATCTCTTGAACCCGGGAGGTGGAGGTTGCAGTGAGCCAAGATCACACCACTGCACTCCAGCCTTGGCAACAGAGTGAGACTTCCTCAAAAAAAAGAAAAAAAAAAAGAAAGAAATTCAGGTATGTTTATATTCCAGAGTTCATATTTTTCCACTTATCCATGCTGTTTTCCAAAAAGAAAAAGGATTCAAGGAAAACAACGTGGTGTTGAAGGCAAGGAAATACAAAAGCAAACTGTAAAAAGTGAAAAAGGAAGAACAAAAATCCAGGATTACCCTGTGCTTATAAGTGGCCCTCCCTGGGCACATTTTCATCCTGACCCTTGGGTATACTTCTGTATAGCTATGGTAAGCTGTTCTTTCACTATAATCTGCTAAAAACAGTTCCACGGGCTTTAAATAATCTTACACCACTATTCCATAAAGGAAATCTAAGAATTATTACAGAGCTTGGATATTATATTATCCTTTCATTTTAAAAATGAAAGAAACTAAACAAAAAAGAAGTAATCCCTGAAGTAGATAAATGGAAAATAAATAAAAATAACTACAGGACAGGCGCCGTGGCTCACGCCTGTAATCCCAGCACTTTGGGAGGCCGAGGTGGGTGGATCAAATTCCTGAGGTCAGGAGTTTGAGACCAGCCTGGCCAACATGGTGAAACCCTATCTCTACTAAAAATACAAAAATTAGCCAGACATGGTGGCCAGCACCTCTAATCCCAACTACTCAAGAGGCTGAGGCAGGAGAATCACTTGAACCCAGGCGGCAGAGGTTGCAGTGAGCCAAGATGGTACCACTGCACTCCAGTCTGGGCCACAGCATAAGACTCCATCTCACAAAATAAAATAAGGAAGGAAGGAAGGAAGGAAGGAAGGAAGGAAGGAAGGAAGGAAGGAAAAATAATTACAAAGAATAAGTGGTACTTAGAGGATAAAATATTTCAACAATGCAAGTGTACAAGTGGTTAAGATAAAGCACCAAAGGTACCATCAAGCAATTTGAAGAAGCTGAAACAGGGAGGGAGCAGTAGAGACCAACTGTGGTTTTTCCCAGCATGAGAAGCTACTTGATAAAGGAAATTTAAAGTTTTGGGCAGCGGGGGCAAAACAAGTCCCAGACCTTCATTTGGCAAGGACACCAGATAACTTGCTGGTGAACGGTTTCTTGGCACAAATCAGGGAACAGCCAGTGGACAGACTGGCTGGTGAGTCTGGAGGGAATCATTCCAACAGCTGCATAGAGAACCAAAGAAGGAAACGGAAAAGGTGAGGTGGTCAATGGCTTGGGAATGGCAGATTTGTCATTTAGCCAGAAGGAAAATGCCTTAGAAGTTAACTGGACACTAAAAACTTTCTCTAAGTGAACCTGTTTTCAAATCAAACTCAAGTTCGGAAGGAAAGACTCAGCTAGGAGGAATAAAAAGCACAAAAAGCATGCACAGAGCCAAAGAGCAAGAAAAGACCATCGCTTGCACAGGGATTTCACTGCTTGAAGCAGTCCAGTCAAGGGGTGAGCAGCTTCCAGACTGAAACCATGTGACTACTCATCAAGCTGGCTGCTTGCAGGAGGCATCTTTCCATCCAAATTGGAAAGGAAAAAGTAAAAATGTCTCTGTTCAGAGTATGACTATGTATGCAGAAAAGTCTAAGGAATCTACACACAAAAAAAGCTACTAAAACAAACAGCAGGATGCAAAGTCAACACACAAAAATCAATTTTATTTCTAGACACTAGCAACAAGAAATTGGAAAGGAAAATTTTTAAGTCCATATACAATAATACCTGGAAACAAAACAATTAGGAATACATCTGAATAATAGCTGTCCGGGATTCTCTATTATTAAAAATGAAAGCAAATACATTCCTCAGCCTAATAAACACCCAGTTTAGGTATCATTGTAACTGCTGTGTTCATCATGGGATAGGGAATAGGGGAAGGAGGGAAGCAGAGGGGGAATGCCATTTGCTTGAACTTTCATTTTGGAGTTGTTATAGAGAAAATAAGAATGGCTCAAGGGGCCGGGCGCGGTGGTTCACGCTTGTAATCCCAGCACTTTGGGAGGCCAAGGCGGGTGGATCACCTGAGGTCAGGAATTTCGAGGCCAGCCTGGCCAACATGGTGAAACCCTGTCTCTACAAAAAATAAAAAAATTAGCTGGGCGTGGTGGCAGGCGCCTGTAATCCCAGCTACTTGGGAAGCTGAGGCAGGAGAATCGTTTGAACCCGGGAGGTGGAGGTTGCAGTGAGCCAAGATCGTGCCACTGCATGCCAGCCTGGATGACAGAGAAAAACTCCGTCTTAAAAAAAAAAAAAAAAAAAAATGTAGCTCAAAGGAGAAGGATAAAAATCACCGAAATGATTCTGGAACGCAGCCTCCATGTCCATAGCCAAAATTGAGTGCCTTGGTACCCAGAAGATGCCAGCAAGACTCTGAAAGTAGAGAATGTGAACCCGAGGAGGTCTCTTAGTCCAATCAAAAGACATTTTGCTAGTTACAAAGGTATAACTGAGATTGGTTTCTATTTCCTCTGACTGAGATTTGCTGACTCACCAGACATAAACAAAGCAAAAATACACTGTAACTGCCACCTCCCATTCTTACTCTGCCCAGTGTCAGAAGAGGGCAGATCCTTGGCCCAAAAGAGATGAAGAGGGTTACAGCTTCTCATGGTTCCAGTCAGAGCTCAGCATCTGTCAAAGAAGGTAGATATTGTTACAACCCTTAAGAAAACAATCTCCCTCATCTCATCTGGAGAAGTCTAGAAATTCCACCAGTGGACCCTGGCTGGGCTAACAGTGGCTACAAAGATGAGAGGCAATCCTTCTACCTTTGGCTGCCTGGAAGAGAAGGCCATGGAGTTATCCTACTTCTGGGAGCTGAGTGGTGACATTATGACTTACTGAGAGTGGCCAGATATTATGGAGCTGGGCTGCTCATGTTCAACTCATACATTTAGTCTTTAAAGATACATCATTCAAAGCCAACAATCCTTATATTTTATTATATTTTTTTTTTTTGAGACAGAATCTCACTCTGTCGCCTAGGCTGGAGTACAGTGGCGCGATCTTGGCATCCTACAACCTCCATCTCCCAGGTTTAAGCAATTCTCCTCCCTCAAACTCCTGAATAGCTGGGATTACAGACGCGTGCCATCACAGCTGGCTAATTTTGGTATTTTTATTAGAGACGGGGTTTCACTATGTTGATCAGGCTGGCCTCAAACTCCTGACCTCAAGTGATCTGCCCACCTCAGCCTCCCAGAATGCTGGGATTACAGGCGTGAGCCACCATGCCTGGCCCAATCCTTATATTTTAGGCATAGCATACAGCATTTGCCCCTAAATTCAAATTGTTGCATTACAGTCAAATTGCATGTGCCTGCTTCAACTAATTCAGGAGACGTGATAACTAAAGGGGGAAATTTTTATTTAAAATATCAGATGCAGGCCCAGGCTCGGTGCCTCACACCTGTAATCCTAGCACTTTGAGAGGCCATGGCAGGTGGGTCACTTGAGTCCAGGAGTTCAAGACCGGCCTGGGCAACATAGCAAGACTCCATCTCCATGAAAAATTAGCTGAGCGTGGTGGCATGCCCCTGTGGTCCCAGCTACTTGGGAGGCTGAGGTGGGAGGATCACTTGAACCCAGGAGGTGGAAGCTGCAGTGACTCAAGATCATGCAACTGCACTCCAGCTTGGGCAACAGACCTTGTCTAAAAAAAAAAAAAAAAAAATTAGCAGATGCATCGGCATCTTGGCTTGGAAAGGGACACGTGACCCAATCTTGGCCAATGAGACCTGAGGGAAGGAGGGGTGCTGATGTCTGCAAGGAAGCTGCTAGGAAGAGTTTTACTCCATGATCAAAAGAGAAGCTTGAGGATTTGGGGGTTGGGGAGTGGCTTTTTGGGTTTTGGAGATGGTTGTTATGTGATGACTGGAACTGTGGCAGCCGTCTGGAACCACAAGAGGACAAGCTGAGTAAAACATAGCAGAAAGAGTCTGTGTGCAAGATCAATAAGCCACTTCCCAGCCCTGGAATGCCCTACCTCCATCCAGACACTGTGTTTGGAATATAATAAGCAATAAATATAAGCCACCTTTTAGCAAGAATTCTGTATTTATAGCCCAAAACATCCTAACTGATGCTCAGGTCATTAAAAAGACAATTCAGCTTTGTCCAACTTTGGTTCATTTGTCCAACTTTTCAATGGACAAACAATACAAACAGAAAACGCAGAGGAGAGATACAGGTAGCCAAAACACATCTTTAAAAGATGCTCGGTTTTGTGAATAACAAAGGAAACACAAATGAAAACATTTTTTTTTTGCCTATCAGCTCTATAAAATTTGCTAATACTAGAGCTGATACATGTTTGGGGAAACAGGACCTTTCAGACTTTTGGGTCGATTGCAAGCTGGTACACTGGTACTCAATTTAGCAATGCATATTAAAATTTCAAGGGTCTGTACCTTTAACCCAACAATTCTACAGAAATACACATAAGCACAAAGCTGTTTGCACAAGGATGTTCAGTGGTACTGTACTGTTTGTTAAACAAAACAAACAAACAAAAAGTCTGAAATAGTCCAATGCCCACCAATAAGGAATTGAGTAAATAAATTATAGCACATCATTCTGTGGAATAGCCAGAGCTGCTCAAAATAAGAAGGTAAATCTGTGTAGACTGACATTTAAATCTATACAACATATACTATGAAGGAAATCATGTAAGTTTCAGAAGAGTATGTATACATCCCATTATCTTTTTCTTTTTTATAATGCTTTTATTGTACTGAAATAAATCTTAGAACAGCATCCAACAAACAAATTATCATTAGGAGCCTTAATATGAAGGTCTTAAAATTTAAACTTTATGCATTTTTGTGCATGGGGGTGTGTGTGTGTAAAGAAAACACATTAATTGCTTTTATAATTGGAAAAAAAGAAGTTTAATCTCATCAGTCTAACAGAAAGTGCTGGTCTTCACTTAGCAGTCACACTTATCCTAAGAGGGCTGTAGGCAAATGTCCCAACTCTATTCCTAGTCAAGGGGAAGCCCAGGATACCAGAGCCACACAGGGAATCTGTGTGCTGCTTAGGATTTGAGGGTGAGGTGAAACTGACCCTGTGGCCATTAAGAGGAGTCTAAGAAACCGATCTGAGTGGCTGTGGCTATTTCACAGTATCATGTGCTATTATACTAAGGGCAAAAGCTGAAAAGACAGCCTAACAGCCCATGCCAGGGGCTAGATAGAGGCAAAATCCAATGGATGGGAACCTGTGGCACCAACCCTAAGTTAGCGGCACTGAATGGAGGTGACTGGTGTCCAAAGTGATTCTCTGAACAGCTGAGGCAGAGTGTGGCTCACAGGACACCTGCTGCCTCAGGGGCTGGATGGCAGGAAGCTATGAAGATAGCAAGCTATCAGTGAATAACTGATGTATAAAGAAGCAATAAAGTCTCTCTGGCCAAGTGAGGCAAAAAAAAAAAAAAAAAAAGCAGCAACAAACCCTTAGGCTGGTTTCAATTTTCTATGCAAAATCGTTTCAGATTTTAAAAAGCAAAACCATTTACCTTCTTAAAGCATACAGTTTTTTAGGTGTAACTTAAATTTCTTTCCGGTCATAGGCCTGTGAAAGTTCGCATACTTCCTGATGCAAATCATTTTTTAAAGAGTGCCTCATTCTATTCCAGTGGCTCAAAGAGATTGTATAGCATCAAGCTCTCTCCCTCTTCCTTTGACACCTGCTTTTGGTAAATGAGCATCATATGAGAGACTTGCCACAAAGCGATACCCCAAACTCCTGAAGAATTGAGCTCAGAGGGAGACGTCCGCTCCACCCTTTCGCTCTCCAGAAAACTTTCTGTCCGAAGCCTCCGGGGCAGCCAGCCATATCCTAGTGCAGCAGGGCTGGGTGAGAAGTCCTTTTTAGGCAAGGCATTAAAAAGAGTTGGCTGAGCAGATCTAAAAACCCTTGGTCAACAGGGCGGAGCCAGGCCTGAGGCAGAAGTATTACTTCACAGTTGCATTGGCTTCCTGTGGCCGCCAATAGAGGCAGCATCTGGCAGAAAGCCCACCACAGAGAAGAGGGAACTCCACGGAGAAGAAAATAGTAATGAGGCCCCAAAGGTGGAAGTACAGCCTGAGAAACTGCCCAGCCTGGGACTGGCTGCCTTGCCTGCTTGTCTTGCTGCTCTCGCAGGGCCTGGGGTGTGGTATCCCCTCAGGCTTTAAAATCCTGATATCCCTCCCATGGGGAGCACTTCTTACAAGCGCTCTTCATATATTCTTTAATCCATATCATTTATTCCATGTCATGAAGCTATGGGGCAGGTGCTATTATTAACTTCATTTTTCAGATGGGAACACTGAAGCTCAGAGGTGAAATAATTACCCCAGGACGCAGAGAAGTCAAGGTTTGAAACCCCCACATGGCCAGCCCTGAAGCCCAGACTACTGAGACTGCAGCAACTGAGTTCTCAAGTGAATAGCAAGAAGATGAGGTAAGGGTTAGTGCTACCTCCAACTGACACTGGATTGGGGCAATCTTACCTCCTCTCTCATAGGTAATATTTTGGGTTTTCCTTCCTTGCACATAACCAGGCAAATGGCTGCAATTCTAAAAAGATATAAATATAAAAACAAGAAGTGAAACAGTGCAGACACCTGAAACCCAAAACCCAACCATTTCTGAAAGCGCGAGCTAGCGGAGCTGCCGTACAACAGAAATAGTTGTGTCCTGTTTAGATAGGCTTTGTTTTGCTACATGGCTGCGTATGCAGTGAAGTGATATCAAGTCCTGAGGGCCCATTCCTTTGATGAGTTAAACACACAAAGGCCTACATTTTGATGCAATCTGATAGCATGTAGCTAAGTCCTAGACAAACTGCAACTGTGAGGAAGTGATAAACCCAACTTCCTGCACAAAGCTGCCTGAGATAACACTTTCCATGGACTGGAAGGAAAAAAAAAAAGAGAGAGGCATGATTGCTACAGAATTTTAAAGGAACTATTCCATTCTTAATAAATAACCTCTTTTTCATGTGGTCCCAGAAAAACAAAACAAAACTGATTGCCATCCAGTGACTCTGTCGTAATTCCACATATGATTTAATTCCGATTTTACTCAGGCAAAATCGGTCACTTGAGAGTCACTTGATTTTCTCTCTTAAGGATACTACAGTTCTAACTTGAAATCTCAGTTATCTTCTTGGCCAAGAGAATGTCTCTGAAATTTTACAAGAAGTCAGATTGAGAGAACTGCGTTTGCATTAACTGGCTCCTGGGGTTCTTACTGAGCCCCTAAACAGGCCCATTCAGTTTGAATAAACACACATTGGAATCCTTGCCAACTTATCCAAGGGCCAATAGCTGTTCCCACAATACCAAAACAGGGTCAACGTGGCAATTTCACTAAGTGTTTATGTAGATTGTGTCATATAGAAACAACCAATAAAAGCAGATTGTGCTGGGAATGTTCTGTGAATGCATTCATTCATTTATTTAGTAAATTTTTTTCTTTTTTTTTTTTTGAAACGCGTCTCGTTTTGTCACCCAGGCTGGAGTACAGTGGTGCAGTCTCAGCTCACTGCAGCCTCTGCCTCCTGGGTTCAAGCTATGCTCCTGCATCCGCCTCCCAAGTAGCTGGGATTACAGGCATTCGCCATCACGCCTGGCTAATTTTTGTATTTTTACTAGGGTTTCATCATGTTGGCCAGGCTGGTCTCGAACTCTTGACCTCAAGTGATCTGTCCGCCTGGGCCTCCCAAAGTGCTGGGATTACAGGGGTGAGCCACCACGCCAGGCCGGCAAATATTTATTGAGGGCTTACTACATGCTAGGAAATGCAGTGGTGAACAAAAAAGAGATAGCCTCTGACTTCATGGACTTTCCAGTCTAGTTAGAGAAGCAGATATTAAACACACAAATAATGTTAAGGGCTCTGAAGAGAAAGGATAGGGTGGTCCAATTTCAGTTTAGATGAGGTGGTCAGTGGAGGTCCAAATATTAATACCAGTGGAGGCCCAACTGATGATGTGGTATTAAGGCCTGAATCATCCAAGCAACCAAAAATGAGGGAAGCCACCAAAAAGTCCTAACTCAGGACTTCCTAACTCGCAAGTCCTGAGTTAGGAAAGAATTTTGTGCCTTTGAGGAACTAAAGGAAAGCCTGTGTGTCCAAAATAAATTAAATGAGGAGAGAGGATATGATAGGAGGCTGGAAAGGAAGGAGGATCCAGAAAGTGCAGCGCTTGGTAGGCGTGAAGAAGTGTGGCTTTAGACTGAACATGGTGGGGAAACATTTCACTAATACTGCTGAACAGGCGGGGTGCGGTGGCTCACACCTATAATCCCAGCACTGTGGGAGGCCAAGGTGGGTGGATCATTTGAGGTCAGGAGTTCGAGACCAGCCTGGCCAACATGGTGAAACCCTGTCTCTACTAAAAATACAAAAATTAGCCAGGTATGGTGGGACACGCCTGTAATCCCAGCTACTCAGGAGGCTGAGGCAGGAGAATCGCTTGAACCTGGGAGGCAGAGGTTGCAGAGAGCTGAGATCCCACCACTGTACTCCAGCCTGGGCGACAAAAGCAAGACTCTGTCTCAAAAAAAAAAAAAGGCTGGGCATGGTGATTCACGCCTTGTAATCCCAGTACTTTGAGAGGCCAAGATGGGTGAATCATTTGAGATCAGGAGTTCAAGACTAGCCTGGCCAACAAAGAGAAACCCCACCTCTACTAAAAATACAAAAATTAGCTGGGTATGGTGGAAGGCCTCAGCTACTCAGGAGGGTGAGGCAGGAGAATTGCTTGAACCGGGGAGGTGGAAGTTGCAGTGAGCCAAGATCGTGCCACTGCACTCCAGCCTGGGCAACAGAACAAGACTCCATCTTAAAAAAAAAAAATGCTGTTGACCTCTCATCGTGTTCTGCTCCTAGATTGTTTTCTAGGCAAGGATCTCAAAAAAATGCAGCAGTCCTAAAGGCGTTTGAGAAAAATTGTGAGAAGAAATTCCTCCAGGTAATTTGGGACATCAAAGATATTTCCCTAAATTCAGTCATTTCGGCCAAACCACAAACCAGGATGGAGGGGGGAAATTAGGACAATAAAAAACAATCAATCAATTAGATCACATGTCATTTTACCATTTGAATATGATTCTAAAGTCACATGGTTCTTACATATAGATAGGAAGTTGGCAGTGATGTGGACCAATTCTTTCTCATTTTACAAGGGAAGTTATTGAGGCCCAGAAAGTACATGGCCTTATCTCCTGGCTCCAGGCAATCTCCACCATACAAAGCTGCCTCTGAAGAACAAAAGTCAGGGCTGCCACACTTTCTCCTTCTCCTTCTCTGAGTGGGACCTAGAATTCAGAATCTGTTTCTAGATTGCTAAGTGATCTGTGGCATGCTACTTACCTCCCAGGCTCACTCTCTCGCTGGTTCTTTATTATAATAATATTATTATATTTTATTATTATTATTATGATTTGTCTAGCGAAGGGGGTGTCATTATGTTGCCCGGGCTGGTCTCAAACTTCTGGCCTCAAGCGATCCTCCTGCCTGGTCCATGCATTGAGCTTCCACACAGGACTTCAGAGATTCCTTTGCTGAAGTTATTGGGATGGGAAAACAAACAGCCCAGCGTTCAGAATCTCACCAGCCAAGCACTGAGGATGGAGGGCCTGGAAACCTGGGATTCGAAAGTGCAAAACTAATTTCAAGTTCTCCCCACTTTGAGTCTTCTCAATGTGTTGGTTTCATTCCACAATCAAATGTCTTTTTAAAGGACTTTAAGGTACAGGTTAATAAAATTTCTGTCTCCGCCTGTCATGTGTATTTCCAAGTTCCAACCCTTATATCTCTGAGAACCTACTCTGTGTAAGCCCCACTCATTACCTGGCCCTCAACTCTGGGGATTTTGAAGAGCTGGGTTTCAAAAAGTGATTAGAAGTTTGCTTTTCATTCTTAAGCTCCTGATAAAAGATCCTACACTCCTTCAAGTGAAGGTGAAGAGCTTGCTGGTTTGAGATTGAATTAAGTCATTTAAAAAGGATAACACCTCCAGAGCCAATTAGACTTTGCCTTTGCTATTCTGGTAGCTTTCCTCTTGGTGTTGATTGGAGTTTTGCTTTATAGTCACTGTCTGATCTTGGTAGGATTTCATTTAGTTGACCTCAGGCAAAATCCTTTACCTCTCTAGCCTCCACTCCCCTTTGGATGATGCTTAAGGCCCCAGCATTTCCAACGTTCTACGTGTTTAAGACAAATCAAAAGGAGTTTTGAATCACAACAGAGAAGAGTCCTTAATACCTCACTTCCATTTTTTTTTTCTTTTGAGATGGAGTCTCACTCTGTCATCCAGGCTGGAATGCAGTGGCACAATCTGGGCTAACTGCAACCTCTGCCTCCCAGGTTCAAGCGATTCTCCTGCCTCAGCCTCCCGAGCAGCTGGGATTACAGGCGTGTGCCACCACACCCAGCTAATTTTTGTACTATTAGTAGAGATGGGGTTTCACCATGTTGGCCAGGCTGGTCTCGAACTCCTGACCTCAGGTGATCTGGCCACCCCCAGCCTCCCAAAGTGCTGGGATTATCTTTATTTTTCATTTTTTATTTTTTATAGAGATGGGGTCTCACTCTGTCATCCAGGTTGGAGTGCCATGGGCAATCATAGTTCACCACAGCCTCGAAATTCTGGGTGATCCTCCTGCCTCAGCCTCCCAAGTAGCTGGGACTATTGGCATGTGCCACCAAGCCTGCCTAATTTTTAAATTTTTTATACAAAAAATTTGCTGTAGGGTCTTGCTATGTTGCCCTGACTGATCTCAAACTCCTGGCCTCAAGCAATCCTCTCACCTCGGCCTCCCAAAGTGTACAGATTACAGGTGCTGGAAAATACCTCACTTTCTAGAATGGAAGAAAGAAAGGGAGGGAGACAGAGAGAGGAAAGAAAGTGGGAGAAGCTGGGGAGAGAGGGAGGGAAGGGAAAAAGAAGGAAGAGAGGGAAGAAGTAATTGGTGAACAAACTAAGGGAGGAAAAACGGGGAGAAATCTGTGCTTTCCAAACCTCTCTGCAGCCTTAATAGAAATAGATCAGGCTTTTGTTGTGAATAAGTTAATGCTTATTTAGCTTTCAAAACACAGCTCAGTGGAGTACACCTAGGAGCCCTTTGCAGACTTGGAATCTGGAAGGGAGGAAAGGCATGTACGTCAGCAGCTTCTGTTTAAGAAAGCAAATGAAACATCCACAGAAAAATTGTTAGAGAGGACTGACTATGTTTTTCTTTTACATTTGAAATACTTTCTATTTCATTGATTTTGTGAACTGTTGAAAGTTTTGAAAAGCATTTAGCCCAGAGCCTAGTGCTTAGCAAGTGCTCCGTAAATGTTGACTATAATTTTTACTACAGTGGACTTTTGGTTCAGGCACCAGAAAGTGTGACTTCTAGATCTATGAATAACCATGTGACTTTAAGTAAGTCTCTCGGCCTCTCTGGGTTTGTTTTCTAATTTGCGAGGCTGGGATTGAACGAGAGGGTGAATAAGAGCTTTTTCAGCTGGTATTCCTCAATTCCATTTCTCCTATGTGGTACCTCCATGTTTGGACTGAACAT